AGCTCCAGGTTGAGCTGTTGTTCAGCATCTTAGCTGTAGAGGGCAGTGTCACTGGCCCTCATATGTGGGATCCGAACCGGGGCCCTCTGGCGTCCCAAACCAGTTCTTAACCATCGCGCCACTCGGCCGGCCTGGAAATCTTTAATATTCCCTGAAATAATGATGCCACCAGAGTGAGGAGGCACTGTTTGAATCCCCTCCCTCTACAGACAGTTGACCTGGAGGGGGCAACAGAGTCTAGAGTTCTGGAAGCCTGGCTGGAATGAGGGGGCTGATCTGTACTTCATCACAGGTTACAGCAATGAGAGGGTCTAGTTCCTGGAGGCAGTGTCATTTGAGTTCGGTTGTTTGACTTTGGGCAAGTAGGGGGTGGCAGTGTGTTCACGGCCAAGTCGATGTAGACTGAGGAGAAAGAGCGGGAGCATATTCCTCGTGGGCAGTGGGACCTGGACTGTGATTAATTATTGGTCTGAGTGCAGGTGACAGTGGGAGCTCTATCTGGTCCAGAGGCCTCCCACTGATTGTCCTTAAGGGTACAGCCAGACGATCTTCTCTATTATCTCAGTTTCTAAGTAGTAAGTTCCCAGCTTCCCATGTGGATGGTTACTGCGTGCTTGGAGGTGTGCTGGACAGCATCGTCCACTAGGATGGCTTCCTCCGGAATCAAGCACCAGTTAGCATACTCCTCACATCAGTTTTTGGAAAGATGGAAGATACTTTTGGTAGCCATAGCTTCCTCAAGTTTTCAGGTTTGAAAGCTACCTGAGGTGAAGGGTGGTGACGGGGTAGGCAAGAATCATGCCACAGCTTCTGTGAAAGGGCATATTTTGGGTGGAGGGATGCCATGAGCTCTTTAGAAGAAAATGCCACTGTGGCAAAGTAGTAGGATCCATCATTTTGTTGGTAGATGGTAGAAGAGAGGTTCTTCCATTTGCCCAGTTACTACCATGCTGCATATGGTTTTGGGGGGTAAATAGATATGAAGTGTCCTGGACAATTTCTTCTAGAATTGGACCATAAATTGGGAGTTGCCATAATTCCATTTAATGCTTTGAATGGACCATGAAGGACATCTGGGATGGTGCAAAAGTACTTAGGTGGATCTTTCATTTATTCAAATTAATGTTGCAGATTTCTCAATACTTTTCCCATTGTCTCTGTTGGTTGGAACTGGGGTTATAGGCCACAATATTTTCAGGTTGAAGAATTTTTAGAATGCATATGCTTCAGTGGCTCCCAGAAATCTAACCTCCAGGTTAGGGTACTTGCCTGCGTGATCCAGATGCTTAGCACGTAGTGGTGATGATACCTAACACACGTTACCTGCAGTTGTCTTGAAGTTGGTATCACTGCTAGCAGAGTAATACCACCCTGACTAGAAAATTATACAAGATCAGCTTGAGAGAAATGTTGTGATATCATACATAAAAACATGACTCCTGTCCAGGAGGTTATACCTGGTGCTGGGCATTAATCCCTTTAAGTTGACTGGGGCATGAAGATGGATTGAAACTGGCTGACATGTGTTTGGAAGGCCGTCTTGCACTTATTGTGTTCCCTGATACAAGGAAATTGCCAGTGCGTTGGGAGGGAGTGGACAGGTGCATGAGCCCAATCCTCAGGGCACATTTCACATATGGGAGAGTTTCTGTGCCTCCATGTCCAAAAATTTCTTCCTCAAAATGGTGCACTTGTTCAGGATTCTGAACACAGAAGAAGTAGATGGGGCATGAGATAATAGAGAGGCTTAGCACTGGTTGCTGATGTAAAATGGACTACGTGGATCTTTTAGAAGTAACAACAACAAAAAGAGCTAATACTTAGTGAATGTGCTCAGCACAACTATGAAAGGTAGGTACTATGATTATCTTATTTTACAAATGGGGAAACAGAGGCCCAGAGAAGTTTAGTAATTTCCCCAAGGTCACATAACTAGCATATGGCAGAGACATGAGTTTAACCCCATCAGTTTGCAGTTTGCAGTTTGCCTCCAGAGCCTATCCTGTGAACCACCACACCAGACTGGCTCTTGAAATAATCTAATCAGAACATCCAGGAAAGACCAGACTAAGGAAAAACATGAACTGATAGAACTAGCCTCTTGATGGGCTCCCTTGTGTACAGCTCAATGGGGGTCCTGTCAAGTGTGTCTGCTCACTCTAGAGCAGACTTGAGTTGGGTGGGGGACATGGTATCATTACTGTGATCCAGAGGCAGACGAACCCTATCTCCCTGAGCTCCATTGAAATTTGGGTATCGTTTCCTAGGCCAGCATCAGGGAACAGAGAGGACTGGAACCTGGTGGCCACTCTGCAGTGGATTGGACCAGTCCCAGTGGGGAAGACCAGTGGGGAAAGGCTGAGCCTTGTGGGAAAAATGGCCTG